ATACATAACTAACATCTTTATATATTATATACAATATATTACAAATATATTATATATATGCAAGTAAATACAATATGCAAGTAAGTACTATGGTTATATTTGCAAGCATATAACTACTTATAAGAACATACAGTGCAAAAAATCAATAATAATACTAGTGGTAATGTGAATAAAGTTGTGAATTTCATTTTCAATGGATTCTACCATTTTAATATGGGTAGCCACAAGCATGCTAGGTAATATCAACAGTGAAAATAGGGTGTAACAGAAAAAATATTTTTACCAGGTATAGACAGGTGTTGAGGATGAAAAGATTAAATTACTACAATGAAAAATCTGAGCAACAAAGATTTATCAGAGATGAAAAGACAAACAATTTGTTTGATCCTTTGTCCGAAATTACAAATTTTCTAAGTACCAACTACATCAGTGTAGTTGGTAGTCTACACTGGTAATAGTTGGTTTATCCAGATGTATTCACAAAGTGCACTGTATTTTTGTGTATTTATATCTCTTTTAAATTACCCTGTCTGCATTTGTATTTTCTGGGTCAACTAGGGAAAAAAATAAAATCTGTATGCAATATCCCTCTCTTACAGTAAAAAAAAAAAAAAATGAAAGTGTCTTCTAGCACACTGCACATTCTTAAAGATTTCTGGTATCACAGTAGCAAATAAAGGTATTATGCCCTGCCTGGAGGTGCTCCAAACACCTCAGGATACAAACTCATTAGGATATATCCCCAGGAAATGAAACAAAGGAATGAAACTTAATGGCTATTAAACAAGTTACTGTACAAGGGAGTTAACACGTTGACTGCCAGACCTTTTTACAAGGTTCCTTCCCGTGTGCCAAAACACGTTTACATGTACAAACATACTTTTTTGAAATGTTATCTAGTCATATATCATCAAAATGATGTGTCTATGTGTATGTAAGCATACTCGTCAACGGCACTGTCAAAGCACTTTTTATTGACTATGCCAAGTGCGAATTATCTCGTTCGCTTTTTGCATGGGTTGGTATATGTTCAAATGGCGCCAACACCTGTGCCGTTCGAGTGTACTACCGGCAACATAACAAAAACAAACATAACTTGTCATTTGTATGTTATCGTCTAGGTGTATCTTCCCTAAACTACCAGACGTTGAGTCTGTGGTTCTACAATGTATAACAAAGAAGTTATAAATGCTAGAATGTTACCCCCGTTTTGACGAGCATATTCATACTATTTCGCCAACAGGAACACCCTGTGGGCAAGTACACGCGTCGCTGGCAGCCAATGTGTTAAACAGAATATGAAGTAATAATTGAGCACAGAAACCACGAATGAACTGAAAAGAACAAATGATGCAGGCACATACTAGAAAATGTACACAATTAACGAAATTTGTTATACCTCTTCGATTTCCTCATTTGGGTTCAACAAGGAAGGAATCCCTGTTTTTTCATTCTTTTGTGCCAATGAAAAAACAAACGAAATAGTGTTTATTACAAAATTTGCATCAGTACATATCACATCAAATATAGAAATTGTTAAGTGCACACACAGCATTTTAGAATGACAAACATGTAACTAAGACCAATTAAAAAAAAACATGTTTCTTGTTCTTGCCTCCTTTCCTTTTATTTGGATCACATATTAAAACACCCCAACATCTTTTTTTTTTAAACAATGAATATTCATATGTGCCTATAAGTATGTTAATTATATAAGGCTTGGCCAAGTTCGAAGGAAAATAATGAGCCTTACCCTTCTCATTCTCAAAAAATCAGAACAAGAAACACTTTCCTCTTTTTAGTTGGCCTAACACTGAATATTACATGTTTGCAGTAATAATGAGGAATTTGAAGTGATCTTAGATATAACTACCAGCTTATAAGAGCATACATTTGAATAAGTTTTAATTTATTAGGTGTCTATTGGAAAAACAGGCTGGCTGGTTTTTCCATACTCTGATCAAGTAGGCAACATAATAATACAGTATATATCAATTGTACAAGTAAATTTTACTCATATAATGCCTGCTTTTTTGAAAAAATTTGCTGCCTGTAGGTTTTTGATCAACTAGATTTTTATAAGCAGGTGTTTATTGTATACACACACTATAACTACAGTGTACTAAAATGTTTACAGTGAACTGGCGTTGTAATCAAAGCAATTAATGTTAAGGCCAACTCAGATAACATGGTACAAAGCAGGCTGATGTGATTTCTTATCACTTCAGGTCTGTGTGCTGTGTGAATTAAACGCAAACAAACAGTCGTGTCATAGAATATTAAACATGTTCCTGACAATAAATCGTGCTGGGATTAGTCTACAACGCTGTTTGAGTTGGCCTCTATACTTTAGCAGGCAGACTATATAGCCAGCAGCCATGGCATGTGTCAACCACTACTGACAGGGAAACCGAAAGCCCTGCCTTCCATGACTTCAATGGATTATATATTTAAAGTAATTAAAATCAAATTTCTTTACAATATTCAATAGAAATAATAAACTCAATGACTCCCCACTACCCACCCAAACCTAGCAGTCTCAACTTTTACTGGATGTAAAAATAAAAGAAAAAAAAGCATAGTTTTAAAAGTTCAAATATTTTTTTAATACTAATTTAGCATTCCTGTGAATTTTAGGCCCTGGAGATACTTGTTTGTGATCATTAACATTATTATTATTACATAATAAGAAACTAAAGGCTATAAGGAGAGTTGAAAACCCTGATATTTAGTAATATAAAGAATTCCATATTGGGAGCAGCAACTTACATTATTGATCCAAATAAAATGCATGAAAATGGTTTTGGTTAGCAATAAAATTTCAAAAAATAATAATAATGAACTGAATGACAGTGAAAAAATAAAGATTTGTAGAAATGAAACAAATGTTTGAACAAATAATTTAGTAGTTTAGTTGACAGTCGAATTACCTGTGTTTTTTTACCAATGCATACAACAAATGTCTAAAAAAAATAAAACATAGATATACCGGTACATATATATAAATACTAGTCTATGGCTAAGGATTTCAAGAGGAATGGGTAATTTAAACCTGTGACCTAATGTTATTATCTACGAACCATTTAGATTTGACCTATGAACCATGGATATATTAATAACATTAAATACAAAGATTGGTATATAGACGAATCCAAGAGAATTTTTTGATTGTCGCGCTCTTTTGTTGACTCCATTACTGGGGTGGCAATTTCCGAAGTCGGAAGATGTCTAAATACACAAAATATACATTACTTTGATAAATTTTTAGTTTGAAGACTGATGGCAATATTCAGCTGCAAAATAAAATGCTGGATTTCTCAATGGTACTGTGTTTATAACCACACCACATTGACATTTTAGGAGTAGGCCTAGGAGTAGGGACTCCCCAGTAATGGTGTCGACAAGAGAGCGCAATTCTTCTTGGATTCGTCTATACATGAAAAAACAAATGAAGAAAATTAAATGTTAAAAAGAAACCCATGTGATGAATAAAATGTAAATTAAATGCACAAATACCTGTACGTGAACGAAGACATCGCTAAACAGTAGAAACCAATGAACAGATAGTCTGCTGGCATTTACCAACTGTAGTGAATTCTTCCTACTGTCTCGAATAACTCTCCGGTCTGCATTTTTTATATTTTCCTGTCAGAATCGGATTTGAAAAAACATATAACTCATGCTTTGACATCAAATTTGAGTTAAAGGATAAAGATCATTGGGCTCCCTTTTTTGATTACACACACTAGCTAGTTGTGGGCTGGGGGAGAAATCATTACCATTGGATAAAAATTGATTCTCTTCAAATAGCCCCTTAGAGTTGTCGGATTACCAACCAAATCTGTGATTGCAGTTGTTAATATTGTGGTCTAAAGTCACACTTTATTTTATTTAAACCATAAAATCTCATACTTGACCTTCACTATGGGTTTTACTCCAATAACCTGACCAATGGCCCTGTGTGGCCCCTTGGTTAAGAATGTTGGATATGATGGGCCCTTTGTCAGCAACATTGTGGATCCACCACTGTTAACTTTTAATGAAAATGACAAAAAGATGGTTTCCCAATGTACTAATCAAAATCAACCGATTCATCACTAGCCACTAAGTGCAAGCTCGGTAGTCTAGTGAGGTCATGGGTTCGATTCCCACCCGATTCACTTGCAAATTTTTTTCTTAAGTATTTGGGATTGTACCGAGTATTCGGTACAATAACACGTCAGCTAGGGCAACACATCACTCCTATGATATATTCCTGACACAAACTCCACTGAAATAGCATTTGCCGTACCTGCTGCTAATTGTGAATTGGATTCAACGCTAGCCACAAAGTGCAAGCTTAGTAGTCTAGTAGTTATGCCATCAGGCTAGTTATCTGGAGGTTGTGGGTTCGATTCTCACTTGAATCAATTGCAAATTTTTTTTTTTTGCAAGTATTTGGGAACGTACTGAGTATTTGGTACGACAACACATTAGGGCAAAAGATCACTCCTAAAATCAAACTTCTTAGGACAGGAACATAAACTTCATTACACAGAGGTATTTTTGCCAATTTATTTGTCCTAACCTGTAGTTTAGGTGGGCAAGACTCCCAAAATGTCCTGGTCTCTTCTGCTATTTCCTGGTGCTTCTTCACATCCTTAGAAAGATTGTCCCATAATGCAGTTGTATCCCTTAGCAACATACATTCTTGGGATTTCTGGAATTACAAATTGCATTTTAAACTTACTATAAGTGGATTTGGATATTCAATACCAAGAATGCAAAATTAGTTTTTAATCTGTTTACACATTACTATGTTATTGTTGTAGAGATGTAGCAAGGCTGACTACTGCACAATTTAACAACTGTATGTGTTCCGTGTATTACGATGTACATGGCCACGCACTGAGAGATACTATCTTTTTACCATCAGTAACATCTCCCAATTACAACCCTTCCAATTACGAACTCTCGATTTTACGAACTAAATTTGCGGGGCGATGTCTTTAAGAATTATATTTTTTAACTACAAAAACACTTAAAATTGTATTTAAAAGTCTACAAAAATAATATAAAATGTTACATCAGATCATAAGAAATAAAACATATAAACCAATAAATTGACTTTGTATTAAGCAAGAGATATCGATCGTTTGCAGCCGAGATATTCCATTTGAGCTGGGTATGCTTGTTCAGGCAGCTAATGTACTTTTTTTTTCACTGGGAGAACTCTTTAAATGGATTTGCAATTTGTTTTTGCTATTACACACTGTAATGGTCATGTTTTCATTCTGAAATCAGTTAAAATGAACTCTCTTTGGACGAAGGGGTACCTAATTGGGAGATGCTACTGTGTTATCACAATGTATGCTATTGTCATCATTATCACTCTCACCGGTGAGTATAGCTGGCTAAGTCTATGCAAAATATCACTGTAGACTAAAATTCTATCAACCGGCCGTTTGAACAAATTTCTGAGCATGCTGCCATAGCCTTCCGCCTTGAGTTCTGCACCGACCAAGTCAGTCAACACTGCCTCATGTTTACTCAGAGAATCACTGCAAAAATAATACCAAGCAATAATTAGATTTAAAGAAGAAGAAAATAATTAGTTAAAAAGAAAATTATAAAAAGAGGCAAATGTATATATCAATGTTTTTTAACAAATTATTTTAAAATATACTTTTCCTTCTTGTACCCAAGGTTGGTGTACTTCCTGGCATTAAATATACAGTATATATTTTTTTTTAAGTTTGAAGTTGAACTGTAACTTGTTGGTGATGAGGGTCACTGTCCAATGCTGTGCTCAAATCCTGTCAATGTGATTTGTGATTAATTTTTATAAGTATAGTTTACTGAACCTATTTTTAGTTCCAGGGCCACCTTACCGTTCGCAGCACTTGCTAGGAATTCAATTTAATTGAATAAAATGTAGAGAGGTATGTAATTAAAACAACTCTAAATGCTAAGCCTCAGATACTCAAAAGAGTATCACAAATACATTGTTCCATCCTGTACTCAATGATTTCTTTTATGTTACAACATAAATATCCTTACTCTCTATTCTGTGATTGGCTGTGATGGAAAACATACTATAAATTGTATCTACACATGCTCGGATATTATTACAACCTAGAGCAGGAGTGGGCATAAAATTGGGTTGAATGGCCAAAACTGAATCTGATTTAACACTGAGGACCGCATCCAACTTTGACAGAAAAAAACCTTCATGGACTGATTTTATACCACTTTATGACCAGTTTGATATTACTCTTTCAGTGTTAGGCCATAAGAGCAAGGGGATTTTTAGCCAAAGATGGTAGGCAGGCCAAACACTTAGTGTTGTCGAACGCCACATGTAGCCAACAGTTCACACTTTGCCAACCTGTGATCTAAAGCTACATAGCTCAAACACACTCAATGCAGAGCTATGACATTTGCATATATCTGACTGTCTTTATATTCCAAAGGTAGATGTGCCCCCATCATACCAAAGATACTAGAAATACAAGATAGAGTTCTCGCATTGAAAAAATGAGGCGGAAGTCGTGCCCAACGTAGGCGGCGTCCTTCATTTTAACCGTGCAAGTTTCCTATACTTCGTGCCTAACGTACAGGGCGCCCTTCTGTCGCTTAGTATATCCAGACGCAAAAGGCGCCCTTCCTTTTCCACTAATGGAGGAAAACTTTCTCACTAAGAGTGCGTCCGGCCATGCGAATGCGATTCTGCCCTGTATTGTTGTTTTATCAACCTGTGATCTAAAGCTACATAGCTCAAACACACTCAATGCAGAGCTATGACATTTGCATATATCTGACTGTCTTTATATTCCAAAGGTAGATGTCCCCCATCATACCTTGTAAGTTTACCCAGATGACTGAAGCCTGCAACATTGATCAGCTGGCAGACAGCCTTGGAGTACTTGGCAAAGATCTCAACATACTCTTCTTTGTTCTTCAACAGCAGTAATTCTGATACATCAAGACGCTGTTGCAGAATGGATGTAAGTTGTACAGCTGTTTGACAGACAAGGTTTGAGACGCTGTTGAAGGTGTCGAGGAAGTCTTGGTATGGCTGTTCATAGATGCTACCAAGCAAAATTTTGGATATATCTACCCAAAGACAAGATTAAACATTAAATTTTTTATAACCACAATGGTAAAGCATTTAAATCTACATCAGGGGTTGGCATAAAAATGAGTTGGATGTCCAAAGTGAATTTTTGATTTACCCTGAGGTAACTTTGATGTATACAAAATATTCATGCATTGGTTTTATTAGCCTTATGCTTAGTTTTTATACTTCACTCATGATCAGCATTTAAGCCGTAAAAATAAGGGGTCTTCTAGCCAAAAGATGGTATGCATGTGGTTTTACATTTATGTTTATGGGTAGCAACAAAATGATGTCAAGCTGCATGTGTCGCACAGGCAACACTTTGTCCTCCTGTGCTTAACATTCTAAATAAAGTCTAAATTTCTATGTACAAATACTAATCAATAAAAAATAGAATTATGATCATCACTAATTTGAGTTGAAAATTTCACCTCAAATTAGTGATGATCATAGTTGATATGATATTTAATATCATATAAACGATCTTTATTATACTGTATTTAACTAGGAATTCCCAATCAGCAAGTCTGATTTTCAGAGGAGTTCTCAATAAATAAATGATTGACTGATTAAAATAAATAAATATATAAATACAAACTTTACCAGCTGTCTGTAGAGACCTGATGACTGTTGACTTGACCGTACTCAGTTGGGCAAATAGATTGCGTTCCAAGGCCGCAAACTCACAAAAGCCTGCCACCAATCCATTTGTGTTACGATCAGATACACAGGCACATGAATCACCAGCTGCTGCCACGCCTAATGCCCATCCACACTACAAAGGAGAAACACAATAATAAAAATAAAACCTGGTTTTCATTAAATTGATACACCATCGATATAGCAAATGCTACACTGCATAGCAGTCCATGATGCAATCAGGAAGGCTCCCTGTCTTGTCACCAACAAATCATTTTCAATGTTTTGGGTCAGCTGTGCTTGGCCAACACAACATGTTTTTGGCCTGATCATGATGCTCAAATCAGTGCCGATGTAGTGTCCCACCAGCCAACTTAGAGCATATTAGCACACTTCGTCCAGTCTTCAGGTCCCTAACAGATATGAAGGCCTCATCAATCTTTACAAGGAAACAAACTATTAGTTTGTAAACACACACTTATCTGTATACAGAGGTAGCTCCAGAAATTTGCGGACGAGTGGTCCGGCATGTCCGACAAAGGGGTCCGAACCAAGGGGCCGACTAGAGCCTCAATCATGGTCCCGGATTAGAAATTCCTGATAGGGTTCACGGAGAGAGCTTTTACGGCTTAGTATGGCCCGAAATTGGGCTTTTAGACCACAACATTAGAGACTGGTGATCAAAATAACGTTTAGGGGTGGGGGGAGTGAAACCAATTTGCAAACAAAAAAGCCCCATTTCCCATATCAAATCTTTTGTTACCTCTTTCCTAATAAATGCCATTCGTTCCGGTTGTTTGGCTCTGGCTGCATATTTGACCGTAGGGCCTTTTGTGATGCTAACAGTGGCCTGCTTTCTACTCTTTGCACTACCCTCCCGTCCTCCATCTTTACTTGCACTGGTATCTTTCTCACTTGACTGGGCTTTGGCTTCTTTTAACTCAGCTAAACTATTTTTGACAAACCAAACACAGGAGATAAACATTAGGTAACATTTTACATCACATTTTAAAATTGAGAAATGTGTTTTTTTTTTACATATATAAGAATGTGTTTATTTTTTACATATATAGTATATGTATACTTTTCAAAAGTAAGTGACCTAGGAAGTGTTTTTCTTTGTCTTTGGATACAGCAGCAACCACATAAAATGGGCAACCTCCTTTGCTCCATAAAGTTCTAAACTTAGTTATACTAAAGAAGTACTGTAGGTAACTTGTATCCAAATATAAGAAAGAAAATACAGTATATTTTCTGAAAATCAATGAGTCATTTAACATAATATATAATATAATATAACAATATACAAACTCTTAGTAAGTGAAGTAATTTGATGAGTGAATTATACTACAGTTAGTGGACTGGAGTTTAATAACTTTGGGTATAATACGTTTGCTTTCCAATCCCATAGTCCTGGATTCCATTCCTGTTATGGTAACAATTTTTTTTTTATGACGACCAAAGGCTCATAATAAGACTTAGACTATGTACAGCATCTTGTGTTAATGTTTGTCCTGTGAAGGAATTTGCCACTTAAAAAATGATTAAGCTCAGTGTTATTCTTATACATCAGGCATATTCTTGGCCTTGGTCCTAAAACAAATAATACAAATAATAAAATAATACATTTTCTGTAGGCTCATATATTATATTTAATAAATATCCATTAATATTATCATTACCAAAATACTGATAATATTATGAACAGAAAACATCTCATATTTTGGTATTTTAAAAACAAAACAATCTCATTCATTTAATAAAATATAGCAAAACTGTACTGATTTTTAAAAAAAAAGTTAAATTATTGATGATTAATTTATGTAATATTGATGTCTGAGAGTATTTTCAGTACATCTCCAGGATGATTTGCATAATTAATAATTACAAATAGGAAACCTAATTATGAATTTCAGAATAGCTTCCTTAATGTAACACAATTTCAAAGAGATGCAATGATAGTTCATGAATGCGACTAAATTACAGGTTTAGCATTTAGATATATAAAAATTAGACTGAAAAAAAGGACAAGATGAATTTACATTTTACTTTTAATAAAATTCAAGTGAGATGTACATATGTAGTGATAATTGAAACAACATTAAGAACATGTTTATTGCTCTAAACTGTATAGATTATGCAAATTAAATGTTAAATTTAAAGAGGCTTGGCATGAAACATCTTTATTATTAACACTAAATCAAACTCCACAATTAAAATACTAAATTTATGCAAGGATGGACACGAAATTCAATTTAAATTTATTTCAGAAAAAGTAACAAAAATAAGGAACATAATGCTGCTGCCTTCTATGAACTGCCAAGTGGCTGTCCTGCACGAGAAATAACGCCAAGAGTTAACTTTAAGTAACAAAACATGTTTGTAATTAGCTGAATAAATTATGTATAAAATGTTCAATTTAGACATGGTTGGGTAAAATAAATCATCAGGAATTGATGAAACTCAGGTCTGTATTGTATTAAATACATTATGAAAATAAAATGCTAAATTCAAAGAGGGTAGACCTATTGCAAAAAAATAAAAATAAAATAAAGCTGCCCCCATCCCTTATTGCTTCTAAGGTTCCATAAAATAGCAGTGTAAACAAATCTAAACATGGGCATTTGTGGGACATGTGCATATTCCTAGCCTTGTTCTTATTGGCCAATTGAGTTTGATTGGCATCTGGAAAGGTCCATTGTAAAACTGGGTAAACTGTACAATGGCCTAAAATAATGATCACAAGCAAAGTATGTAAAACAATATAGGGCCATATCAATGACAGTTTATCTTAGCACCCTTCATTTCACTTTTTTATTTATGCACTTTCATATTAATTTATGAAGATATATTTTCTGCATACTTCCATATTAAAGGTATTTTCCTGGTGGCCTCGTATTCCTACTTCTGTGAATGAGGTTTTATATACCATTTCATATTACAGTGAATTTCTTCCCCACAACTTCATACTTTCTTTATGCACCCTTAAATGAGACATACCTAGGTTGTTTTCCCAAGTAGTAAATATCAGGTTGGTTGTTACTGCCATCTGCGAGTAGGAGCGTGTGAGCAGATCCTGCTGCTGCATCCCACACAATAGAACCATTTGGAATCTAAAAATAGAAACTGATAGTAGGACATGCGAATATAAAGAATGGTTTGTGTGAAAAGAAAAAAAATGCCTATATAAGGTATAGACGTTGAGCAAATGCCGAGAAAAAAAGACACGGTGAAAAAAGTAATGCCTAAAGGAACAGAGAGTAAGAGCTTTGCAGTGGTAAAGTACACTTACTTTAATTAATGAGAAATTAGTGCTTAGAAGGTGTATGGATTTATGGGAGGCATTATATGCATGTAAGTTGCATTATACGATGAAAATTGAATTGTAATTGAAAAATTTTGTAAAAGAAGGTTAATTAGAACCCGAAGAAAATTACTTTAAATTTTATATCAAGTATGAACAATTAAGCAATTCCTTGAATCAATGAACCCTAATAAACTAACAAACTGAACGTTTAATAGGAATATTCTAGACCTATTTTTAAGACTCAAGGAACGAAATTAGATGTAGGCCTACGACCAGGCAGGAGGGAGCCAAGGGTTCCTCCTCCTAGCTACTAGCCTAGCCCAGGCCGTAGCATAGCGTAGTTATAAAATCATCCCACGATTTTTACCTGTCTGCATCAACCAAAAAGTTAGTGACAGTGACTGTATTCTCTCTCGAATGCTTAAAAAAATGTTTATTTCTTTGACGAACGTGAAACATTACAAACAAGTTCTTCTAACACAATGCAAATTACAAAATAGTTATTCATCGTAGCCGTACTGTACTGCTGTAGTTAAACGCGTACTGCAGACACAACAGCATACACACAGCTAAAATGATTGTAAAACAATACGCACATAGTATATTGACCATATCACTATAGCAACCGATGACTGCTACAACAGTTGGTTATCACAACTAACATTCAAAGACGGCGATTGACTTATAAAAGCAATTAGTAGAGCATGCATCGTACACTAGCGGAAAATAATTATACTTACGTTAAGCTACAAATGCTTTAAAAAATGTTTATTCCTTTGACGAAGTGAAACAATACAAACAAGTTCTTCTAACACAATGCAAATTACAAAATAGTTATTCATCGTAGTCTTACTGTACTGCTGTAGTTAAACGCGTACTGCAGACACAACAGCATACGCACAGCTAAAATGATTGTAAAATAATATGCACACAGTATACTAATCATATCACTATAGCAACCGATAACTGCTACAACAGTTGGTTATCACAACTAACATTAAAAGACAGCGATTGACTTATAAAGCAATTAGTAGAGCATGCATCATACACTAGCGGAAAATTATTATACTTAGGTTAGATTTAATGCATTCAAAAATTTCTTTTGGGGCTTGCAGGCCCTCAGGAAATTTTTTCAAGCATTAAATCTAACCTTCGTATAATAATTTTCCTATAGTGTACTATGCGGAGCTCTACTAATTGCTTATTATAGGCTAAATAATGAAACCAACCTTTATTTTTTTAGGGGCTAGTTGTCCAGTGTGACCTAATTGGCCATCAGTGTTAGACCCCCATGTGTACACCTAAAAGACAAAAAACAAATCAAGGTTAACTCTTACCGAAAATAATAAAACAAAGATATAAAAGTGAATGATCTTAGTGATTTAAAAAGGCTGAAAACAAAACTGTTGCATTGCCCAAGCATAATATTTGGAAATCCAAGGTTGGATGGTAATTTTTAGGACTAAATCTAGAGTTAATGGCTAATTACCACTCACCTTTTTATTGATCAAAGCTTAAAATTTGGACCCAAAATTTGAAGTCAAAAACAACTTAAGTGTTTAAAGCTTATCCATTTTATGATTATTCTATTTTATTGATGACTGAATATCTGAAACAATTGTAGTTTTGAGACCATGTCAGCAATTTTACTCCTTTTTTAAGATGTATTGTCCACGAAAAATCGGGGAAAAAAAATATAAAAAACAATTTTAAAATTAATTTGCTCATTTTGCAGTGACATACAAATTATTAACTTTAACATAGAAATTATTGAACTTAAAAAATGTGTACCCTGATTTTTATACTGGCTAGAAGTGTTTTTATCCTTTTCTTGCTGTTAGTGACAGTGACTGTATTCTCTTTCGAATGCTTTAAAAATGTTTAATTCTTTGACGAATGTGAAATATTACAAACAAGTTCTTCCAACACAATACAAATTACAAAATAAGCTAGTTTAGGTATTCATCATATCCGCACTGTACACTGCAGCGCTGATGTGTACTGTAGGAGCACAGCATGCATACGCACAGCTAAATGTAAATACGCATACAGTATACTGATCATATCACTATAGCAACCGATAACTGCTACAACAGTTGGTTATCACAACTAACATTAAAAGACGGCGATTGACTTATAAAGCAATTAGTAGAGCATGCATCATACACTAGCGGAAAATTATTATACTTAGGTTAGATTTAATGCATTCAAAAATTTCTTTTGGGGCTTGCAGGCCCTCAGGAAATTTTTTCAAGCATTAAATCTAACCTTCGTATAATAATTTTCCTATAGTGTACTATGCGGAGCTCTACTAATTGCTTATTAAAGGCTAAATAATAAAACCAACCTTTATTTTTTTAGGGGCTAGTTGTCCAGTGTGACCTAATTGGCCATCAGTGTTAGACCCCCATGTGTACACCTAAAAGACAAAAAACAAATCAAGGTTAACTCTTACCGAAAATAGTAAAACAAAGATATAAAAGTGAATGATCTTAGTGATTTAAAAAGGCTGAAAACAAAACTGTTGCATTGCCCAAGCATAATATTTGGAAATCAAGGTTGGATGGTAATTTTTAGGACTAAATCTAGAGTTAATTGCTGATTACCACTCACCTTTTTATTGATCAAAGCTTAAAATTTGGACCCAAAATTTGAAGTCCAAAACAACTTAAGTGTTTAAAGCTTATCCATTTTATGATTTATTCTATTTTATTGATGACTGAATATCTGAAACAATTGTAGTTTTGAGAACATGTCAGCAATTTTACTCCTTTTTTTAAAATGTATTGTGCACGAAAAATGGCAAAAAAAAAAAAATATATAAAAAACAATTTTGAAATTAATTGGCTTATTTTGCAGTGACATACAAATTATTAACTTTAACATAGAAATTATTGAACTTAAAAAATGTGTACCCTGATTTTTATACTGGCTAGAAGTGTTTTTATCCTTTTCTTGCTGTAAAATTGAGTATACATATTTTTAATACACTAATAATCAAGTTGATAATTTTTATGTTGCTTCAAAACAAGCAAGGTTATTTAAATAATGTTTTTTCATGGGAAAATACACCGTTAAAAAGGATTAACTTTTATTCAAATTTGTTATTTTTTATTTTTTTTTACTGTACTGATTTCTAATTTCAATTTACTCTGAAGCAATTCAGCATATGGTGCCATATAAATAATTTTAAAAAAAAAGAAAGAAAAAAAAAATGAAAAAAAAAAACTGTATTCAGTTTTTGAAAGATGACTATAATCAGCTCCAAAAACCAAAAGTTCTAATTAATAAACAATGTAGAACTGGTCAACATTGAATCCTAGTACATCATCAACCATGACAAACCAGACAGTGGGAGCGATAATCTTCATCATTATAATTAAGCTAGACAACCTGTCAATGTTGGCTTTGACTGTCTAGGACACAGCATATAACAGCGTTGTAATTAGCAGAGCAATTAAACATTAAATGCTCCAGATGGTATCAAAATGGAATATATTAAACACTATCATATAACAGTCTTTTCCTATAATGTCACTATTTTATTAGTTTCAAATTTCTCACTAAATATTTGTTACTTGATGTTTCTCTTTCCTAAAGCACTGCTAATATATATTTTTTCTGAACCAATCCAAAACAAATGATTGAAAATCTGTTTTAATCACCAAGAGTTATTTTGTTTATGATAATGCCAGTGCAACGGCACTCTATTCTAATGACCAATAAAACGGAATGCAAACTCACAGAAGAGGTGTTACTATCAATAAAAATTTGATTGCATTTACCAATAACATCAATGAAACCACTGTATTAATAAAGCACCGATTATGAGACAATAAAATATATAGTAGTTACAACTGCACTTTTCTGCGGGTGTCAAGTAACTCTTCTGATTATAAATGTATTTGAAATATTTGTAGATGTTATAATTTTTTATTATATTTAAGTTCTGTATAAGTAATAATATGTGGGTGAGAGTGCATGGGTTGTTAATTTAACAGAATTCTATGTGTAGCCTGTGTTCTATATTAAGCTTTTTATTCATTTCTTTAATTAGGTCTTTTTTCAATGTTATTAATATGCAACTTGTTGATTCTTATACTATAATTTTGTATCACAAAAAAACAGGACCATGTTGTTACAACATCCAGATATGTTATCCTGTATAAATATGTTAATAAATAAATAAATAAATAAAATGAATGATTATATCCAACTTTAATAATAAATTTAGAAAAATAAAAATGTTTTGAATTTTATAATAAACAGATGTTAGTATTAATAAAATTATTGAGTAAAAAACAATAATGAAATAATAAGTAATAATGAATTATACAATTTAAATAACAGCAATAATAAATAATATCAAAAATAGTAATAATATTAAGAATTCTACAATTATAAAGGAATGATTCAAATATACAACAAAAATACTGTAAATAAATAAAAATAATGGAAAGAATACGGTATTCACATGTCATCAACAATTAAAAAAATATCCTAATTTTACAGAAAATAAATGTAGGGAGCTTAAGAATATTGATTGTGTACACTTTCTGATGTTTTGATCAAATTTTAACACTGGCAGGTGAAATAAACAACAGTACTTTAATGTACAGCTGGTCATAAGCACTTGATTTTCAACATCAGTGAGATAAAATGCAGACTGATATTAATTAACAACCTACAACATACAGTACAACCGATTCTGATAAGCATCAACTGTGAAGCTATCAAAGGCGTGATACTGCAAGTCTAGCATAAGTAATTTTCATTCCAGGAACCATTATTAAGTGTATAACCCTTACTACAGTGACAGTAAATGATGCATAGGTTAAATTCTTTGTATGGCCTGTTTACTGTACTTGAGTTAAGTAAGTGTAAGCAATCCTGAAACCATTACAAGTGTAAAACCTAAATTTACAGTGGCAGTAAAGTATGCATAGATTAAATTCTCTATATGGCCTGTTTATATACTGGAGATTGTATTGCAGTAAAATCCAATTTCATATGGTAATATGCGAGTACAGTAAATTAATTATTATGTAATGACAACAATAATAAATAATAAATAATAATAATAATAAAAAATTTAATGACGATGACGGTGGTGAAATTAATAATAATACAGCAATAACAATATTATGTATTATTCTCCTGAAGACGATTGAAGTCAACTCAATTCTCAACCAACACCAACAGTTCTTTTCGGAACTATCCATGTGGTATACCACACGCATTGATATATTTTTACTTCACCATGCAAACCTTCAAACAACATTAATATTGATTAAAATTATATAGTAATATTGTCATTAATAAAATAAAATAAAATTAATACAGAACGAGAAATGATTAGAATAATACAAACAAAAATTATATAAAAATAAGAAATGATTATAATATCAATAAAAATACATAACATTAATAATTAATAATAATTAAAGTCTATTCACATTTTGTTTGAAATTTCGAATGCTTGTCAACAAATTCAAATAAAAAAAACAAGCGTCCTATACTTAAAGGGAAAATCTACACTATTGCCTTCATTACTATATAGTTGAGTATGCTTAGCAATTAAATAGTCACCGATACTACAGGAAGTTTAAAATCTAAATTTGTTATTATAAAAACCTATTAATTATTAAACATTGAGCAAGTGTCTTGCCTTGCCTAATGAAAAATACAGAGTATTGGACACAAACTCATGTCCTTATAGTTGAGACTCAATGCATAACTGATGAGCTGACTGCTCATCAAACACTTCCTACAGAGTGATGTATCTACAGAGGAGAGGAGGTGCTGCGGCACACCTTCCAACGTCCACAAAAAAAATTGTGCCTACCACCCACAGGAAATTGCTTGAGAAAAAAGCTGCACTGAGTTGTTAAAAATTCCCTGGTATATACATTTTTTTGCCAGCTAGGTCTCCCTCGCTTAATCCTTAAGCCCTCCATTTAACCTCCGTGCCTCCCAATCAGCTTCCCCACAGCAATACTCCACTGCACCTACATTGAACATGTATCATTTATTGTTAAATTTAATGGTATTTATTATGTAATACTCTAATTATAATAATAAAATCACCTTATAATTGAACTACTTAAAAAACTATACATTGCCATCATGAATAATTCATTACATATGGTGGTCTCTGCAATATGCTACAATACTATTTAAATAATAAATGTAGTTAGTAGAATGCTATGGAGTCTTGACATCATAGTTGAAAGGCTCACATCTTGTTCACATACTTAATATTTCATTTCATTTATTCAAAATAACCTCCAACAAGGAGAAGCAAAGAAATACAATCAAAACAATGCAATTGAAAGCAGTCAACATTTTTAATGGAGCGTTTGAAGTTGCTACGATAAGTTTCATTAAATATATATTTGCAAAGAGAAAAGTCTGATTGATTTGCAAACCGATTTTTAATCCTATCAACAAGTGTATTCTTTGAAAAAGGTATACTGTATCTTTTTCCTGGTCGAAGGTGAGCATAAAAAGATCTCGCCTTGGATGTATTATTCATAATTTGGCGTACAAGGTCCAGTTGGCGCGTAATGAGAATATCATTTATTTTTGGAACGTTTGAGGCATGTAACAGGGGTGTAGTTTTACAGTATTTGTGAAGACCAAATGTTGCTTTAATAACCTTATTCTGTGTAGTTTCTATGGTGGTCTAAACTTTAACCAGCTCTGCATTACAGTATGTACAATGAATGAATCTTTCTTCTTTCTTTCTTTTATTAATATTTCAAGAGGAAATGTCCCATTCAGCAAAGCTGATTTTCCCGGGAGCCTCATCACAACAAACAAATTACAAAAGAGACATAAAGCAGAGCAAAGAGCAAAAACAACACATTCATTAAAAAAAAAAACGCCAATATAAAAATGTTTTTATAGTTTTTCAAAAATAGTATAAAAATATATCATTATTAAATTTTAATTATTTTCCTTTAAAACAACAATAATAATGAATGAATGAACAAGTTGAGCTGAGCATTTGGTTTAAAAGAGGTAATTTTCTCACGCCTTGTGCTGAAGACCCCAGTTGTATAGTGCTATTTCACCTAGCTGGCCACAGCACTTACTGTTGCCTGGCTATAATAATATTGACAATGTTGATTGTATTGTAGATCTAGGGCAAAGATTGGTTATAATATTAAGCTTATGGGTATCACTGTAGACATGGGAACAGATCACCGTTATGGATATGACATCACACTAATGTATTGTTAACATTGTTATTACCAACAAAACAATCCCCAATACAGTACTATCAAAACTAAATGTCAATAGGCTACCAATGTATTAGCATCCTTGGTTGGCACATATTAATATCATTTATAGAATGGATTGAATTGAATTGAATTGAATTTATTCGATGCTCATATATAAAATATAAAATATAAAATATAGAAATACAATATAGGAATTTTTTTTTACAATCATCAAAACACAATGAGCATCTGGAACACCCATTAGGCCAGGAATCCAGCCCATTTCCAATGGAGTCCAAATTGCACAATTAAAAATCATGAAAGTTATCAAAATACATATTAAAAAGGAAAAGAAAAAAAGCAGCATTTAAAAACCAAGATGCACCCAATTAACTAATTATTTAGATAGAACGCAACAGTGATCAATTGTAATTATTGCAATTGAGCACTATTGCGTTCATACAGTTTTTTGATGTGTACTTTAAATGTAGCCATATTTAAAATTCATCATGTCTCTCTCACTATCTTTCATCTACTATATTATACAATATCATCATCGCCTTTCCTGCAGTAATAAAATGCAATCAAAATGTATGAATTTGTTAAAAATGTATTCAAAATAACAAAAAAAATCATAAAAAACAATTTTGTAAATTAACTTGCTTATTTTGCAATTACAGTACATAACAAATTAATTTGAGCATAGAAATATTGAAAAATATGTACCCTGATTTTTACACTGGATAATGATAATAATAATAAAAACCTTTCCAGTGACTGGAATTGTTCTATTGTCTATCATTGTTCGCTGTAAAATTATGGGTTAACAGTTTTTAACTTAACTAATTTTCCTTCAAAATGAGGCAGTTAATTTCAAAACTGATTTGTATGATTTTGTTTTGTATTTTTCATAGGACAATACATCTAACAATCTATGTTTTACCTGGCCTGAGTTGGAGATAGCTATAGAATGGCCTGATCCTGCCACCACCCGTACAATGTTCTTGTTATTGAGATGTCGAATAACAGTTGGCTGTGGCCTGAAAAAAAAAATATAATTATATAATTAGCATTCATGATCAAAAGAAAGTTATTTTTCTTGTGTATTATACTTTAATTTCAATCCAAATAAACACATTAACAGACAACAAAGAGAAGTAGATTTGTCATATATTGCTCAGGGGAAACAGCTTATTAAATTTATATCTTTAGATTAAAAGGAAAGAAATCCAAAGGTCGAAGAAGGCAGAGGTGAGAAATACTGTAGGGGTAGGAGGAGAAAGGGAATATTGACTGATGATATACAGATGGGCAGTAGTAAAACTTTATATTTTCATGAAACATACCAACAAATACATGTTCCTTTCCAACATTATTTACATAATGTCATGACTTATCAACTGTACAGTAGCATTCTTTTTTTTTCACGAACGAACGAACAAAAAAACAAATAATAAATAAAAACTTTTTAAAATCACACTCACAAAACACCATAAAATTAAACAAGTTAAATAATAACAATAATCAAATATCAAAATAAAAAAAAATATATATATATATATAAGTTTAAAGTTAACATAAAAATCTACTAGTTACTGTATAAAATAGAACCATGGGGAATTAAAAAAAACCGAAAGGTACACTTATTAATCTCAGATAAAAAAGTATAATACATAATGTAGGCCTACTCCAAGTATTGAAATACACGTCATCATGTTGGGATATTTTAACATAAATTATATCATTATTTGATTTTGACAAAATTAATGTCAAAATATTGATGATGACATTAATTAATCTTTAAATATTGAATCCCAACAAGATGGCATGTATTTCAATACTTGGAGATGTATTATACTGTAATTTTTTATTTATACATAATAGTACATAGCCTAAAGCTAAGATGGCTAAACAATTTATAGGAATTGAGAAAATCAACATTCTACTAAAATTATATAAACATTGTCATTATTATTATGCTGTAATAAAAAAAAAAAACCTAAGTGCTTTGATAAAGAAAAGGATCTGCGGTAGAGTACTGCGTGTTCTACCAACGGAAACATTTTTACTGGTTAATTTGTCTCACATAATGTTTAGCTAAGCACGCAGCACGAGACTTTACCCCTTCTCGGTGGGATTTAATGACTTAAAAAACCAACAAAACATATAGTCACTGCCTAAGCCTAGACTGGATTGATGTTAATTTATTGAGAGAAGGGTTGTCTAGGCATCCTAGATCTAATTAGTGGTTTTCTATTTTACCAACACACTAGTTGGCTGGTTATTTTTACTAAATTGACAGCTAAACCTGCTTTGAGAGAACACTTGGTACTATAAGCAAAACAAAAGGTGAGGATAAGTATTTCATTTAAAAAAAAAAGGTGCTGAACGTGTCTATTTGATTACCATCGGAAATTTTTGCGATTCTTTACTTTAGGCCAAGCCAAATTTGTTTTATGAACATTCTACACACATACTCAAAAAAATTATTCGGTAAGGAGGAATAAATAAATGCTTCTTTTAGTGATATCCTCCCAACCATAAATATTAATTCTGATCAGAAAAAATTGAATTGTTTTCATAAGTGTATGGACTGGAAGATGAAAATATTTATCCTTTTAAATGAAAACAAATTGTTTTATTTGAATCTTTTTTGGGTATTTCTAGATTTTATTTTACAGACTTTTATCTTTCATTGAACAATATGCAAAAAAGAATTACTATACCAAAATATCTTTATAATAAAAAAAGAGAAAACAATTTCATTATGTTTGCCTCAAAGGCTCCATGTAAATTATAGATGCATTCATTATAAAATATTTGTAAACCTTACCTATCTAATACATCTGCTTGGCCAAGTTGTCCAACATTTCCTTTGCCCCAGCTCCAGACTTCTGTAACCATTGTCATTTCATCTACAAGATCCTCCAGATGTGACCTTCGACCTTTTACTGGGATACAACTCATATCCAACACATTTAATTCAGGTTCTTCAACTTCAAAGTCTGCTTCTTGATGTAGTAATTCTGTACTAGGTGAGAGGCTTGATGATGTCTGATCTTTTCCCATGAAGTTGAATTTGTAATTCAAAAGTTTTTCAAGATTTGATGTCACTGATGTTGGCAAGCTTGCCAGAAGCTTGTCCTTTGATGTCTTCGCTGTCCCATGTATTGCACGATTTGTTGATGCCATCTGCTTTTCTAAAAAATCTTTAGCAGATCTACCAGTTGGAAAGGATCCTGTTAATTCTGAATCATCTTTTTCAGGATCATCTGGTACATCCTCTGTGGCAACCGGTGTTTTGAGTTCTTCATGTGCTGCTGCAGCATCAACTGTATCCTTCTCAGATTCATCCAAAACATATGTTCCTTGGCTTTCTGTGGACAATACAGAACCAGTTTCTTCCGCTTCTATTAACATCTTGCGTTCATGACTTTTCTTCAGAACGTCTTTTCTCATTGGTTTACATGGTATCTGTACATCAATACTATCTGGAGAAAAACTTCGGGTGGATGTCTCATCTACTTCTGTAACATCCTTATTCTTGCAGACATGAGTTTCTGTAATGAACACAGTGTCACCTAAATCTGAGAAAGAGTACATCTCTTGGCTACACTTAGGACATAATGTAGCATCCACATCAACATCTTCAGTTGTGACAGAGGAGTCAGTAGCTGCCTTTGGAGAACGAACCTTCTGCACTACAGCCAAGCTATGAGCAGCTCCACAACAGATATTGAGGACTTTCCTTTCACCAAATGCTGAAAGCCTTGATGGAGTGGATATGCTGTTTGAGCCAGTGCCCAACCCTAGCTGATGTCCTATTCCCCAGGCCCACACTTCTCCTTTTGTAGAAAGAGCTAAGGTGTGCATGTCCCCACAAGCAAGCTGAGTGATGACAGGATCATGGTCAGGATCATTGAACTCTACTTGTTGAGGTGTATTAATTCTGTCCAGCAGACCTGTACCACACTGACCACTATTGGAATCGCCCCAGCAGAAGACAATGCCATCTGCGCAGACCACACCTGTATGATTCAACCCACAGACAACATCAATTACATTTTCACCCTTTATATCTTTCACAAGCACCGGCTGTTTTGTAACATCACTGAATTTCTTATGCCCAAGTTGGCCATATTCTCCTGAACCATAACAGAAAACCTCATGTTCACTGGTCAAGAAGGCTGCATGCTTGCCACCAAGGGCTACCTTCTTAACATTGCGAGACTTAAAAACTGGAAATGTATTTGGAATTGTATTACTAAGGAAACCCTTCCATGTACTTGGCTTAGTGCATAATGATGTGTTCTCTTCTTTGATATCTTCATCAAGTTGTTCTCTATTTAACACAAAATGAAAAAAAAAAGAAGGAATATAATAAAACAAGGATTCTAAACATGTACATTAAATTTTTATTTTCTACAAATAACTACATTAGAAATTACAAAATTCACTTAACTTAAAAAAACAGGTTGATTGAATTAGTAAATTTTTATGTTCCTACAGTACCTAGCGGCTGCATTATGAATTGGTCATGAAATTAAAGAGCAATGTTGTAATACTTATACAGTATTTGCAAATGCGTTCGAATGTCTTTCATTTTGTGATTGGAGGTTGTTTCACAGTGATAACAGTGGCACTGGAATGCAACATATTTAAACGAATAGACACCCCTGTGTCTGAATACACTGCAGCCTTTTAAATTAAAATTTGTTTACCACAACACATCTCAAATCCTCATTAATGTTAGGTAAATAACCTATTTATCATTGCCCTTCCCTTTAATACAAAAATAAAATAGGCCTAGTTGGTTATCTCATTATGATAAAGAGGTTTTAAGCCAATAAATGTTGATCTCAGCTGGAGTGAGAAGACCATAAAATGTACACTACACGTGAATTTAGTTGGCCTAGCATTTCTAACACCGTATGGTATCCGCAGCTCTCCTGCTGCTGGGGATTAAATTCAGAGACGCTGCACAGTCCGATGCCCTACGACGACCAGAAAGGTATACCTCTCTGCCTACTGCTAAAAGACGAGCTCAAGTCCAGCCTAGCCTAGCTCTTCTCGATACGTTCAAAAATGTAATAATAAGAGGGCTAAGAAATGCTTACAGTTCAGCCATGGTAGGAGATGTAGATAACTACTAAAACCAACTACTTATTCGCATTATTTATGAATACGCCTTTTCTCGATCCTTTTTTTCATCCGATCCCACACATAAGTTGACGTGCAATCAATAAACATTGCGAAGCGCCCTCAAGTCACTATTAATTATTTGTAGATGAAGTGATTGATTTGTACCTTTATAATTGATCTTCAAGAACTAACTTATTCGCCCCTTTGAGTCTATTACATACGGTTTAAACTTCATAGAATATAATGCAGCATCATATTAATTAATGTTTTTATTGGCAAAATTGTGTTAGCTATGACGTCGAACCAGCATATCCTATGAGGCTTTAATTTTTGTTTAGAAGTATGGCACCGGTAAACACTTAAAATAATACTGAATAGAAATAGTAATATAGACCCTATTCCTAAATAAAGACACTATATTCATATGATAATAATAATAATAATAATAACACATTTTTGTCAAAGATGATATTGCTATAAATATTTCGACGTATGCCACTAAACCATCCAGGAACAAAAATGTGAATTCACATAAATACACCCCGATTCAATGTCGCACACAAAATTATAAACACAGTTTTTTGCCCAAATAAATGATTGGAACAACCTTCCATCTGAGGTCATCCATGAGAAATTACCTTTTAAATCAGCTTTAGATAGATATTATCAAAATTAAAATCAAAGAAATAAAACTTTCTTATAACTAATGAAATAACTTAATAAATCTGAGGACACGTTGCACATTGAAGCAGAAAACACATTAGACGAAAGTGCTGAAGTTGCGATGTCCCATTACCAATTCTGAGATTCTGAGAGTTTCAATAAATAACTAAAACATAGAACATGTTCATGACGCTTTAACTTTAGGATAATGGTACCGAGAAGAACTGTGAGGGCTACCATACTTCTAAATAACAATAATTAAAAACGATCAGGCCTATGCCAAAAGGAATATACATTTTTCATATGATGATAAGAAACACATTGTATTTCTGTGGTCCCAGACAAGAGGTTCACTCGCGTGGCCCAAACAATTCAATCATTTTAATTGACCAAAATACAATGGCCAATGCTTGATATGTTTAAGCATTTTCTTATAGGCCTAATTATTATCTCACTCATATGCATTTCTAAGTTAACATAATTATGTTTAATACGGGGCCTTTTGGTTTCAATTCATCCAACAAAAGGGCACATTTAGTTTAGGCTCATTGAAGATTCTGCTCCTCGTTCGACCGACCAATCAGCGGTTTGAGACATCAGAAAGATGTCTTGGCAATAGCGTGTAGCGATTTTATGGCATTGCGGAGCACGTAATTTTTATGCCAAATAACTTATCCCAAATTCATAATGGACCATTGTTTCTTTAAACAATTCACAGTCCTACATGCAATATATGCACAATATAATACTGATTTTGTTTGTAAATTTATATTTTTTATATAATTGTAGCAACTGTGAACATTTTAAATGGATATTGTTTGCGCTTTATGAAATCAAGTTATTATTATTATTATTATTGTTATTATTATTATTATTATTATTATTATTATTATTATTATTATTATTATTATTATTACTAGCACTTACTCAGACTTAAGGGGAATATCTTTTGTGTTATTTTCCAATTAACATCATGTTATTTTTTAAATTGTTCTCTAATTTCTCACTTGTCTAATTAAGGTAGGTTTTAGTAGCATTAAGTGTATTCTTCGTTTTTGTCATATTATATTATTTCGTGATCTTATATCTAAAGAATGATTCTCCTTTTCATCATCATCAGCACGAGTCATAATATCACCATCATCTTTATCATTATCTATGCATTTATCATATTAAAACAATAAAAATTGATATTGAAGACTGACGAATGTTAATACTTTTAAAAGTAGGCCCACTGTGTGACTATTTGGCCTACTCTAAATAAAATTCTTGGCTTGTAAATTAATATGGCCTAATTAAAATAAGAATTCAATCATATTTTAAATTATTATTATTATCATTATTATTATTATTATTATTATTAT